TGCAAGGCTGGCGGGAGTGTGAGGAAGCCCCGCCAAGGCCCTCCCTGGCCCAAGGCAGGCAGGGGTGGGGAGAGGCAGGGAGGAAGCAACTTACCCTCCCTCTTCTCCTGCCTCCTCCTGGGTGAATGAGGGCCGGAAGCAGGGCGGCCGGAAGCAGGGTGTGTGGCTTCGTTGTGTGCCCCACACCCACACCTCACCCGGGGGAACTGCGATCCCCCGCGATCCCCCCCAAAATGACCTCTGAAAATACCTGAGGCTAAGATTTTCCTATATTTTAAACATGTTATCTAGTAGAGGGCTGGCAGAAATCAAAGCAGGTCTACTTTTGGTGGGAGACCAAATGGTTACTGGTAACAATAATGGTGAGGAGAAAAAAACTCTACAGAGATCCAGGTTTCCATCGGATTCAGTTTTAAAACCTGAATCAATGGAGCTGGAGAGGAAGCAGCATAGTATAAATACAGGTCTGGGACATTCAGAGCACCTAAATTTGAAGGCCGATGTAATGTTTGAAAACCAACTCTAGGTCTATGGCGAGACCAGATAAACTACTTAAGAGCCCTTTGCCAAAGCTGTAATTTCTTTGGGGGTATCTTAACTGGGAGAGCATGGAACAGAAACATAAATTTAGGGAGATCCTTCACTGAATGATACACATAATTTGTTAACCTAGTAGCAATTTATAATAATCAGGACACATTTCCTTTATCTTTTCTATTAATATTCTGGACATCTCTTGTCTAAGCACACTTTGGGGAATTTACAGCACTTGATTTTGACACGTAGTGGAATATCATTACACTAGAGCCAGTTTGTTGTAGTGGTTAAGTGTGCAGACTCTAATCTGGAAGAAATGGGTTTGATTCCCCACGCCTCCACTTGCAGCTGCTGGATGACTGTGGGCAAGCCATAGTTCTGTCAGAGCTGTCCTTGAAACAGCAGTTCTCAAGAGAGCTCTCTCAGCCCCACCTACCTCACAGGGTGTCTGTTGTGGGGAGGGGAAGGGAAAGGACTTTGTAAGCCGCTCTGAAACTCTGAGTGAAGGGCGGGGTATAAATCCAATCTCTTCTCTTCTTCATCTATCTATGACAGCTGACATCTTTACTGAGAAGGAAGCCTCAATGGGCTCAAAGGCACTTACTCATGGGTAAATATACATAGTTGTGCAGCCTTAGGGCACTCAATAGCAATGAAGTGTCCACAGTCGCCAGGGCTGTGTGAAAGATAAAAATACAAGGCAGACATCCTGTCCACATGCAGCCCTCCAAGAGACTTGGTGTCTCCAAACTCTCTAGCCTTTCCCCCTGCCATGGAAACTCTTTTCTTTGGAAGAGTCAGTCTTGCCACCATCTGGAACCAACACAAGAAGCGGGCTGGTTGCTGTAAAAGCCTCTCCCTCTCCAACTTTCTTTAGTCAAGCCAACAGGATTTCTCCAGGAACATCCTGCCTGGCCACTGAGTGGTGGAAATGGTGCTTTTCAAACCTTGCTGGCTATGATGGAGAACAAGCAGACAGGAATGTCATCATTTTATAAGCTACAGAGGAAAGATAAAGGACATGCATGGAGCTTGGCCACAGAGACTGCTGGCTTACTTAATTAGAAGATACTGGCCATTTATATGACCAGTATTTGTACGGTTTATTTACTGGACAGAAAAGAGAAAATAAACAGGATTGTTCCTTTCAAAACGGGACACCTGGCAACACAAACTAGAAGCCATAAAGTTTCTATGGAATGAAGCCTGTAAGGTATTTTACAGCTGATGGGGAAGCAGGGAGCAGGGATTCTGTTATTTCTAGTTAAGACTGTATCAACTAAATTGGCTTAAAGAATTAATGATCCAGGGGAAAGTTACCTGTTAGTAATTATGACTGTGGCACTTGGGCCTAGCTCCCCAACAGGTTACCTTCACTCCCCAAATGGCTGTCAGGCAATCAATAGAGATGCGGCCCTGCTCGGAGGCTGGGACAGGAGTCCTTCTTTGGGGTGAGGGAGATTTGGCTATCTGAGCTGCAATCCCTTGTGGACCCCAAGTCCTCCTAAAATGGGATTTAGAAGATTCCCTCAGATAGTGTGTCACCACCACCTGTTGATTGTTGCAGACTCCCCTTCTCTTGGCTGCTGCAAAAAGGTACAGTGACCCAGGGGTGCCTTTTCAGAGCAGAAGCCTGCAGCCAAGGCAGTGGGTAGGAATGAAGGCAAAGTGTCGTAACTAAATCAGCTTTATTACTACAATGCACAACCTCATGAAAAGGAAGTTCTAGAACTAGGATGCAGACTAATAATAGATTCTCACTCAATATATCATGGAATATCTACCGTAATCCCTTTTGATTTGTAAAACACATTTTAAAGGGGGGCGGGAGTAAGCAGTAGGGTCCTACAATGATCAGTGTTGGTATTGCTACATTATTTTTCAAATTAGTTTCTGATATCCTAGAAGAAGACAGAAAATAAAGCAATAAGCAATCAAGGAAACCATGACACCAGAATCAAAGTTCTAAATTATGCCTTTTAAATCGTATATATCTCAGACAACTGAAATATTTTATCCTTCTGAACAGTATCTGGTTTTCTCCCCCCCCCCTTTTCTCTTTTGTACGCTATTAACTAGTGAAATTAAATTGTATATTCCAAAATTTACCATTTCTGAATCCTATGATGTCAAAGATTTGCTGCAGAAAAAAGGCGTGAATGATGTCTTTAATGAGAATGCAGATCTGTCTGGGATTACTGGACATCGCAATCTGAAGGTTTCCAAAGTAAGTATGTGAGTTGTTTGAGCAAAATTTGCTGTAACGTTTACCTTTAATCAAGTAAGTTTTAAATATATTTCATGGGGAATGTTCAGGGGTTTTACTATAACAAGTGACAAAATTACTGGCTCTAAACATTGGATAACCATATGGAGCAGAGGTCCATCAGTGGATATTAGCCACAAGGTATAGATGGCATAGATGGAACACTATGTCTGGGGCAGTGATGCTCTGTATTCTTGGTGCTGGGGGGGGGCACAATGGAAGGGCTTCTGGAGTTCTGGCCCCATTGGTGGACTTCTTGATGACACCTGGGGTTTGGCCACTGCGACACAGAGTGCTGGACTGGATGGGCCACTGGCTTAGTTATATTAATATCTCCTGGAAGCAACTAATCAAATAAAAGCAATAGAATTAAATGGGGTAGTGAAGCCAGATTGAATCAGTGTGTTGTACTAGTGGTGACCACACTGCATCAGGAACATCTGATACAACTTCTCCAGACTCCACACTGACTACAGCTAGCCCCAAAGAAGATGAAGTACAATCCTACAGAGGACAATGAGTGACTTGATTGAGTATGAAGTACAAGGCAGTCGTTCATCCTCATTCCAGTCACTCATGGTCCTCTGTAGGGTGTTTTTCTAGCCTAAGGAAAGGGCTGGGTCTGGATGGCCCAGAAAAGCCCAATCTCATCAGAAGCTAAGCAGTGTCATTCCTGGTAAGTACTTGGATGGGAAACCACCATGAAAGTTGAGGGTGCCTATGCAGAGGCAGTCAATGGCAAATCACCTTGGAACATCTCTTGCCTTGAAATCCCTATGGGGTCACCATAAATTGAATGAGACTTGATGGCACTTTATACACATACACACAAGGAGAGGACTAGGGGGTTGCTGCCAGGTGCAGATAACAAACATCTGCTTCTTACATCCACTACAAATGGAAGTCTAGGATGCAATTATATTCTGTGGACCAACATAATGCTGTAGGACTGAGGACTGGCCTACACATGTCATAGAATGAAGTGACAGAGATCTTAAGTGAATGGACAGTTAGTAAATTGTGTTTCAGGGAGAACCGGTCATTGAATGCTCCCTTGAGAAATTTCCCCTTCAAGTAAAAAACAAAACACAAAACTAATAACACATTAGGGAGGCACCAGTTGAGCCAGCATCATGCTGTGAGCCTTTGCTACTTGCAGAGAAATTTTGATTCTGAGAAATATTAATGATCTGGTCTTCCGCCTGCAGTCTGAATTGATACACCCTGTTCTACCTATGGCTAATGCAACCTCATTGTGTGGCATATATTCATCACATACTGTATCCTATCAATGTTCATTGTCAAAACCCTGCTGTTTATATTATATCCCCACTATAATTTTAAATTATATCCCATGCAGGGTGGCACAAATTTATATACATGCCACCCTGCATGAAACTGTCAGATCCTTGCCAGGAGGAAACACTGTACACACTCTCTTACAATGTAGAAATAAGAGTGAGCTTCTTTTAAAGGCAAAGTATCATGAGATGGTAGAAAAGTTAGCAACACATTTTGTGAAAGGTACCTTGAGAAGGAGCTCAAACATTAAGCTTTTGCTTTAGGAGGAAGAACTCTTGCTTCTCCTGCCCCACAAGGGAGGGCAAGAAGGAGGGAGGGAGGGACAACAGGAAAGCAGGAGACCAGACGTCACTTCCTCCTTCTCCTCTGCCGGGTTCTTCCCCCGCCACCTTCCCCCACCCAGCCTCTTCCACCGCCACCTCCTCCACCAGGCTCCATGCCAAGCAGATACACAGGGAAGCAACAGTTTGGGCTTGCTTGTGCCTGCAACAACTCACTCCACTAACTTGCTTGCCTGCCTGAACCCCCCACAAGCCTCTTTGCCCTCCCGACCTCCTCCTGCCATGCCCCCCCACAAGGGAGGAGGAACAGCAAGGAACTGCCAGCCACATCCCCACTGCTGACTCCTCCCCCATCTGGTCTCTTCTCTGCAAGCTCTTCTATGTCTGCTGCTGCCGCCAGGCTCCACCCCCCCCCCTGATTGATGGGGCAATTGTAGGGCCTTTCCTGCCCAGCCTCCCATCACTCATCACACCCCCACTCCATCATGGAAGAGAGCAGGCAGCTTCCCACCCACCCAGCTTGCAGGGTGGCAGTGGCCAGTGTCCTTTTCCCACCCTGCTCAGGCATGGCAGCTTGGAGGGTGACCCAAGTCATGCACATCATGCACACCTGGGTCCATGTCCGCCACCTTCAGCAACTTGACTCATGGTGCACCCACATGTGGTGGCTCCAGGCCCAGAGCACTTGTCCCCGAAGGTCTGTGCACGCCTGTCCCAATCTACTTCCTCCTCCCTTTTTCTCTGGAAAAAGTGTTGTAAAGGAAACTCAAAGGTTCAAATAATAATCTATTGAGCATTGCTGGAATTTTCCAGAAATAAGCTAACAAATTGTCTATGAGTTCAAAATTTCATAATAATTTTGAATAAGGAAAAATCAAACTAAGCTTCTCCTTCAGTTTAAAATGCTTTAACATATAAATATTGAACTATTGGAATTTATAAGTAACATAAATATATCTGCCTTTTAGCAGCTTATTATTTTAAAGTTTTAAAAAAGGACTGTTTGTTTGCTTAGAGAAATAATTATACACTCAGGAAGCTGAACTGGTGAACTGCTCAGTGAAAAGGAATGTGATCATCTCAGAGGCAGCCAAGAACCAAAGATATTAATCATGGATTCTGTCATTAATTAAGAGGCCAATTAAGAATGCAGAATTTATGTTATACGAG